GTCGGGGCTTCGGCGGCCGCCGGCGAAACGTTCTCCTCGCGCGCGCCGCGTGCCGCGTTCTGCCAGCCAAGGCGCGCCACGAGGACAGAATTTAACACGCCACCCTCGTGTTAAATTCTGTCCTTGGGGTCCCCAGGCCTCGGCGGCCGCCGGCGAAACGTTCTCCTCGCGCGCGCCGCGTGCCGGGCTTTCCAGCCGAGGCGCGCCACGAGGACAGAATTTAACACGCCACCCTCGTGTTAAATTCTGTCCTTGGGGTCGTCGGGGTCCTCGGCGGCCGCCGGCGAAACGTTCTCCTCGCGCGCGCCGCGTGCCACCGGCCGCCAGCGAAGGCGCGCCGCGAGGAAAGAATTTAACACGCCACCCTCGTGTTAAATTGTGCCCTTGGGGTCCCTGGGCCCTCGGCGGCCGCCGGCGAAACGTTCTCCTCGCGCGCGCCGCGTGCCGCGGGCTTCCGGCGAAGGCGCGCCACGAGGAAGGAATTTCACGACAAAAAACGCCACCCTCTGGTTAAATTGTGCCCTTGAGGTCCTCGGCGGCGCCGGCGAAAACGTCTCCTCTCGCACGCGCGCCGCTTGCCGCGTGCTGTCCAGCGAAGGCGCGCCGCGAGGGCAGAATTGAACACGCCACCCTCGTGTTAAATTCTGTCTTGGGGTCGTCGGGCTTCGGCGCGGCCGCCGGCGAAAACGTTTCACCTCGCGCGCGCCGCGTGCCGCGTTCTGCATCCAAGGCGCGCCGGAGGACAGAATTTAACACGCCACCCTCGTGTTAAATTCTGTCCTTGGGGTCGTCGGGGCTTCGGCGGCCGCTGGCGAAACGTTCTCCTCGCGCGCGCCGCGTGCCGCGGGCTTCCAGCCGAGGCGCGCCACGAGGACAGAATTTAACACGCCACCCTCGTGTTAAATTCTGTCCTTGGGGTCCTCGGGTCCTCGGCGGCCGCTGGCGAAACGTTCTCCTCGCGCGCGCCGCTTGCCGCGTTCTGCCAGCGAAGGCGCGCCACGAGGACAGAATTTAACACGCCACCTTCGTCGTCGTCGTCGTCGTCGTCCGACGACGATCGACGATCGACGACCGAACTTCGAGGCTCGAGGGGTCATTTCGCCGTTTTCGGCCCCTGGATGCCGTCCGCGGGCCCCGGGACCGTCAAAAATCGATCCGAGGAGGACGGAGGAGGAGGAGGAGGAGGAGGAGGAGGAGGAGGAGGAGGGCCCGACACCCCATTGCCGGACACCCCAGTTGGGAAGACTGCCTCGCCCCTGGGAGACCACGAGGCGTCGCCGTCGTCGTCGTCGTCGTCGTCGTCGTCGTCGTCGTCGTCGTCGTCGTCGTCGTCGTCGTCGTCTGTCGATGTCCCACGGGCCGATGTCCCACGGGGACCACCGGGTAACTCCGATGTCCCACGGGGGACACCGGGTAACTCCGATGTCCCACGGGGGGGCACCAGGTAAATCGTGCCCAGACCCCCCTTTGCAAGGTCGAGTTACCCGATGTCCCCCGGGGACACCGGGTAACTCCGATGTCCCACGGGCCGATGTCCCACGGGGACCACCGGGTAACGATGTCCCACGGGGGACACCGGGTAATGTCCCACGGGCCGACACGGGGACCACCGGGTAACTCCGATGTCCCACGGGGACACCGGTGTCCCACGGGGACCACCGGGGGGGCCGATGTCCCACGGGGGACCACCGGGTAACTCCGATGTCCCACGGGCCGATGTCCCACGGGGACCAACTCCGATGTCCCACGGGGGACACCGGGTAACTCCGATGTCCGATGTCCCACTGCAAGGTCGCGACACACCGTCCGATGTCCCACGGGGGACACCGGGTAACTCCGATGTCCCACGGGCCGATGTCCCACGGGGGCCACCGGGTAACTCTGATGTCCCACGGGGGACACTGGGTAACTCCGATGTCCGACGGGGGACACCGGGTAACTCATGCCCAACCCCCCCCTGCAAGATCGAGTTACCCGATGTCCCCCAGGGGGCACCGGGTAAGAGGGGGGTGTGGAGCGCACCCCCCACTTACCCGACGTCCCCCGGGGGACACCGGGTAACTCATGCCCGACCCCCCCGGGTGCAAGGTCGACTTACCCGATGCTCCCCCATCTCCACCGGGTAACTCATGCCCAACACCCCCCCCTGCAAGATCGAGTTACCCGATGTCCCCCGGGGGACACCGGGTAAGAGGGGGGTGTGGAGCGCACCCCCCACTTACCCGATGCCCCCCGGGGGTCGCCGGGCAACTCCTGCCCGCCCCCCCGGGTGCAAGGTCGACTGGCCGATTCTCCCCCGTCCCCGCCGGTCGAAGAACAGAATTTAACACGAGTGTGGCGTGTTAAATTCTGTCCTCGTGGCGCGCCTTCGCCGGCAGCACGCGGCAAGCGGCGCGCGCGAGGAGAACGTTTCGCCGGCGGCCTTCGAGGACCTCAAGGGCGCAATTTAACACGAGAGTGGCGTGTTAAATTCTGTCCTCGTGGCGCACCTTCGCTGGCAGCTCGCGGCGCGCGGCGCGCGCGAGGAGAACGCTTCGCCGGCGGCCGCCGAGAACCCAGGGACCCCAAGGACAGAATTTAACACGAGGGTGGCGTGTTAAATTCTTCCCTCGCGGCGCGCCTTCGCTGGCGGCTGGTGGCACGCGGCGCGCGCGAGGAGAACGTTTCGCCGGCGGCCGCCGAGGGCCCGAGGACCCCAAGGACAGAATTTAACACGAGGGTGGCGTGTTAAATTCTGTCCTCGTGGCGCGCCTCGGCTGGAAGCCCGCGGCACGCGGCGCGCGCGAGGAAAACGTTTCGCCGGCGGCCGCCGAGGGCCCAGGGACCCCACGGGCACAATTTAACACGAGGGTGGCGTGTTAAATTCTGTCCTCGTGGCGCGCCTTCGCTGGCAGAACGCGGCAAGCGGCGCGCGCGAGGAGAACGTTTCGCCGGCGGCCGCCGAGGGCCCGAGGACCCCAAGGACAGAATTTAACACGAGGGTGGCGTCTTAAATTCTTTCCTCGCGGCGCGCCTCGGCTGGAAGCCCGCGGCACGCGGCGCGCGCGAGGAGAGCGTTTCGCCGGCGGCCGCCGAGGACCCGGGGACCCCAAGGACAGAATTTAACACGAGGGTGGCGTGTTAAATTCTGTCCTCGTGACGCGCCTTGGCTGGCAGAACGCGGCACGCGGCGCGCGCGAGGAGAACGTTTCGCCAGCGGCCGCCGAGGACCCGGGGACCCCAAGGACAGAATTTAACACGAGGGTGGCGTGTTAAATTCTGTCCTCGTGGCGCGCCTTCGCTGGCAGCACGCGGCAAGCGGCGCGCGCGACGAGAACGTTTCGCCGGCTGCCGCCGAGGACCTCAAGGACAGAATTTAACACGAGGGTGGCGTGTTAAATTCTGTCCTCGTGGCGCGCCTTCGCCGGAAGCCCGCGGCACGCGGCGCGCGCGAGGAGAACGTTTCGCCGGCGGCCGCCGAGGGCCCAGGGACCCCAAGGGCACAATTTAACACGAGGGTGGCGTGTTAAATTCTGTCCTCGTGGCGCGCCTTGGCTGGCGGCGCGGCACGCGGCGCGCGCGAGGAGAACGTTTCGCCGGCGGCCGCCGAAGCCCCGACGACCCCAAGGACAGAATTTAACACGAGGGTGGCGTGTTAAATTCTGTCCTCGCGGCGCGCCTTGGCTGGCAGCACGCGGCAAGCGGCGCGCGCGAGGAGAACGTTTCGCCGGCGGCCGCCGGGGACCCGGGGACCCCCGCAGGTGGAGTCCACGCTGTTCGCGGGCCTCGTCGAGTGCGAACCGCGGACAGCGGAAGCCCGGGGGGGGCCCAGGGTGCTCTGGCCTCGGCCCCTTCTCGTCGTCGGCGTCGTCGTCGTCCGACGATCGACGATCGAACTTCGAGGTTCGGCCCCTGGATGCCGTCCGCGGGCCCCGGGAGCGTCAAAATTCGATCCGGGGTGAAAAAACTACGTCGGATAGACCTCGGGAGGGGTCCGGGGACCGATTTTGAATCGATGTCGGTCGTCCTGGGGGGAGGACGATCTCGGCATCGCTCGGACAAGTGCATTTTTCGTCGTCGTCGGCGTCGGCGTCGGTGTCGTCGTCGTCGTCGTCGCCGTCGCTCGACGATCGACTATCGAGCTTCAAGGTTCGGGGACGTTTCTCGCCGTTTTCGGCCCCTGGATGGTGTCCGCGGGCCCCGGGACCGTCAAAAATCGATCCGGGTGCTCTGGCCTCGGCCCGTCCTCTGGGGGAGGAGGATCTCGGCATCGCTCGGACGTGTGCATTTTTCGTCGTCGTCGTCGTCGTCCGACGATCAACGATCGAACTTCGAGGTTCGAGAAGTCTTTTCGCCGTTTTCGGCCCGTGGATGCCGTCCCCGGGCCCCGGGAGGAGGGTCTCGGCATCGCTCGGACGTGTGCATTTTTCGTCGTCGTCGTCGTCGTCGTCGTGCGACGGCGCTGGACATCGACCGCCGACGACGACCTCGGAGGCGGCGACGACGACGACGACGACGACCGCGACGACGACCACGACGACGACCACGACGACGACGCTGACAACGATGACAACGACGTCGATGACGACGACGACGACGACGACGACGACGACGACGACGACGACGACGTCTTCGACGACGACGGCGACGACGAAAAATGCACACGTCCGAGCGATGCCGAGACCAGGGACGGTTTGGCATTTCGGATGTTTCCCGTATGGTCCCAGGGTCCAGATAGGGACCCCGGTTGGCTGCACACAGCGGACAGCCTTCATGGGTTTTGCCCCCGATGCTTCGGGGCCCAGCCCCTTCAGGGAGGAAGGGGCGGCAAGAGAAATAGCATCCCCATTCCCCACCCTTCTGTCTCCTCCTTCTCCTCCTCGTTATCCTCCTCCGTCTCGCCCTTCCCTTTCTGCTCAACTCCCCCTCCTTTTCCTCCTTCCATGGCAATGCAGGTTCAAGTGGGGCACTTCGGTCGCGCATTTATCTGCGACTCGTTGCCGGCCTGCGCGTGCTTGCCCATGGCGGACGAGAGCGCCCCCGCTTATTGCAGGGAGCGCCCTGAATGGGTCAACGAGCTTCTCGATTTCATCAAGCCCATGAAGGTCAATTTTCATCAGCCGCTCGGCCCCGATATGAAGATCAAGGTGAACATGCTGATCAGTAAGAGTAAGAAGCACGACCGCAGCGACTTCACAGCCGAAGTCCCCATGTCGTTCATTAACTTTGAGGCAACTGCAATACCTGGCGTGTGGCCATTGCAGGGGGCTGTGGCTCGTACGAAGGAGTTCTTCATGCAGACCACGGACAACGGGGAAGCGCCTCCATTCCCGCCCCCCGGGGTGATCATGGAGATGGCCATGTATCGGGCACCGCTCGAGGAGTCGGACATGGGTACCTTCCAGAGGCTCAACCTCGACCGGTACTTGTTCGCTTGGATATCTGCGTTTCGGGACGCAGCTAATGCAGCAGGTGTCACCGACATTTTGACTGCCCCGGCCGTTGAGAGCTGGCGCAGGGTCTTCAACAACGTCCACATGCATTTCGCGTTGCTGCGCGGCGACAGCACCGACGCGCAGGCGGACCGCAAGCTCGTCGTGGCCTACCAGCTGAACGAGAACGACGAGAAGGCCGCGGAAGACATCGGGCACAGTGTCTTGCAGCGTGGCCGGGAACTTGTCCAGCTGATGGAGCGCGCCAAGGCCACCGGCAGTGGTAATGCCCAGGATTGCTCTCGCCGCCCTTCCGGCCCACCTACCCACCTGCCCGCCTCGCCTCTGTAATCGCCCTCCCACGTCTACCAACCCGCTGACCTTTTTATTTGCCCCCTGCTTACATGCCTGCAGGAAGTGGCGGACATGCTCCGCACCATCAAATGGGCCAACTCGGAGACCACGATGGGCGTCAAGAACATCCGCTTGCACTTGCGCGTTCTGCGTAGGTTGAGCATGGCCGTGGCGGACCCGGGCAGACCCGCTCACATGGAGAGCGCATTGTGGTGGTTCGAGCGCAACGAGGAGATCTTCGGGAGACGGAATCCGGCTGTTTCCATCCAGGAGTCACCGAAATATTTGGACGCGTTCTGTGCCGCGCTGCCCGATCCCAATTTCCTGCGCGACGCTGCTGAAAACTTGCACATCGCTCTCCTCCGCGGGCATTCGCTCCGGGGGGGCAGGTACGTGGCTGAACACGCCCGCGCGCTGGCCTGCATGAACAAGATCCCAGCGGCCATTTTCGCGCGGTTCCCGGCATGCGAATCCTTGCTCTCGGCGTTCAAGACGTTCAAGGCATTCCATGCGGCCCACCCTGTCGGCCGCAAGCTGGACGGGACGGCGGTGGACGAGATCGCGGAGCTGCCCATCCACGCGCAGGAGTCGGTCGAGAAGATCGTCCAGGAGATCTTCTGGCCCGTTTTCGATGGCAAGCGGTACCAGAATTTGATGGTCCTGAGCAGCGCGACGTCGCCGCTGCAGGTTCGCTTGCAGAACTGGCCGCGAGCTTCCCGGGGCACCCCCTTAGCACTGGTTGGACGGGGGAGGGGCTTGCCAAGGTCTCCTGGGCCCCCGTGGCCATTCCCGGGGGCTGGTGACGTATCTATTCTATTCCTCGTGCCCCACTGATAACGCGCCATGGCGCATCCGGGTTTTTACTGACCACCTACGCGGGCTTTCCAAGGCTGCCGGGCCCCCAGGGGTCCTTCGCGGGGGAGGGGGCCAGAGGGAATCATATATGCACTTCCCCGCCTCCCCGCCGAGGGCTTCTTGGCCTCCATGGGCCCTCGCTGGGCAGGGGGTCATCTGGGGCCATCTTGATTTGTTTAGGGCAGAGGGGGACAGGGCGTAAGTCGCACTCTTCTGGCACTCCTCGGGCAGGTCGGCTTCATCAAGGAACTCCTCGCCGATGTCGATGCGGCCTACGCCGCGGAGCGACCGGCGCTCACGGGCAAGGTGGGGGGCGGGAGCGGCGGCCATGGGCCCGACGACCCCGAGGGCGCCGAAGTCGTGGACGAGGCGCCCCTGTCCGAAGACGAGCTGGAGCACCTCCGTCAGCAGCGCAAGGCGCAGCTCAAGGAGGAGACGGGCAAGCTCGCCGAAGAGTTCCTCAGGAGAAACGTCGTCAAGCACCACTACGGGGAACCCCAGTTGCCAGATAAGGTCAAAGCCCCTGGCTTCATGCGCGACGGCGTCACCAAGCTCTTCTGGTGGAACTCTGGGCTCGACGCTACGAAGGACCCCCCTAAGTACAGCAGCCCCTACAGGATGAAAGCGGGCGTCGATGATGCACACATGAAGTTGGCAATGTCGACCGCGTGCGAGGCTGCTGGCGACGACGACGCGATCATCATGCTGAGCGGCAGGAACAGGTTCATCCTCGAGAGCATGATGAAAGAGCTGCTCAGCTACAAGCCGAAACTGTTCCTGAACGAGCTGCACATGGAGCCAGACGACGCTGATGCCATGAAAAAGCTGCGCGCCTCCAGGTCCCCGGCCGGCTCCGTCGACCTCCGCGAGAGTTACCTGCAGGCCCGCAAGAAGAAGAGGACGGCCAAGGGCGAGGACCGCCGTTTCGTGAAGGGCAACACTGCCTTCAGCACGACGCGCCCCATCCCTATGCTCGAGCTTGCGAACATGACCAAAGTGCCGCCGCATGAGAGGGAGAAGATCTTCCGGGGAGTCCAAGCCGACGGCAAGTACGCCGGCAGGAAGACGGAGGCCGGGCTTCACGAGCCCAACGAGGCGGAGGAAGGCGACGACGCGGAGGAAGGCGATGATGCGGAGATCGCGGATGGCGAGGAGATCGACGGCAAGGGCAACGTGGTGCTCTTCTACATGGAGTTGCACCCGAACCTCTGCGCCGAGTTCTTGCGGGCCAGCGACGCTGGCGTCCTCATCGATTTCTCGCCCGGCGCAGCCATGATGATCAAGACCGCGCTGCTCATGGGCGCGAAGGCCCTGTTCGTGGCGCTGAACAAGGATCGCGGGATCAAGCATCTCGCCCGTCCACTTGCCCCACCCCTCCCCTAGCCCTTCCCTCTCTGCTTCCGCGCCCCCCCCGCCCGCCCCTCCCGTTCTACCCCCCCGTCCGTCGCTACCCGCCCTGCCTGGCAGTTCGGCCGCAGGCGGGGCAGGGCCGCCCGATTGCCGCCGCAGCGGGCCGCTGACCATAGAAGCGCGCGCCTCCGTCGCGCGTGCCCCGCAGGACCACATGAACACGATCATGAACATCTTGATGGCTTTCGTTAAAGACCACATAGAGGCTGGCACGCAGCGGTTCCTGGGGGCGGAGGGCGAGAAGCGCCTGAAGGACGCCATGCCCGCAAAGCTTCGCCGCTGGGAAGAGAAGTCGGGGAAGATCGCAGAGGACGCTGCCGCCGCCAAGAAGCGCGCGGCCGCTGCGGCGGGCTGGGAGACCCAGCTACAGGCCATGGCAGACGGAGAGCCAGTGGCGAAGAGAGCAAAGACAGCGGCAAAGAGGGCAGCGGCGAAGAAGGATGAGGCGCCAGGCAAGAAAGCCGAGGGCGCAGACACGACGCCGCAGGGCAAGAAACCAGAGGGCGCGGGCAGCACGCCGGCCTCAAATGCTTCTCCAGCAGTGGGCAGCACGCCGGCCTCAGGGAGCAAGCCCGAAGTTGCTGCGCCCGTGGGCGATTTGGCGTCCCTTCTCAAGAAGTTTGATGGGAAGTAGTGAGAGGGGCGCCGCAACATCCCCGAGCAAAATCGCCCGGTGACGACGGCGGGAACTGGGATAGGGAAGGGTGGGCCCAGGTGGGCGGATGGCAGTATATTGGGACCGTAGTCAGCCCGCCAGAGGGTTCCGGCGCTACGCCGGCAAAGAGACCCAAGGGGCCCGCTGGGACATTCCAGCGCGGGGCGCCAATGTTCCAGCGACGCATTGCGCGACATTTTGTCGCAGCGCCGCCGTGACATTTCAGGATAACCAGTGACTGTCGACACTTTGATCGCCAGCGGGGGCCGACCGCGGTGTTGCCACCTTGGCAGCTGTATCGTCTCAGCTGCTTTGGTGGCCCTTGAAAGCACATGCGAGGACAAAATCGGTCCGGGCACGTCGTGGGTCCAGGGCGAGGTTGGTCATTCACGTTTTATTATTCAAAACAAGACGTCCTCTCCTGTGTTTGGTCGGTTTGACCAGCGCCGCCGACGATCCCGATCCAGCCGTCCTCCTTCTGCTCCTTCGCCCCCGCCCCCTCCTCCTTCGCATGCCCCCCCCCCCGCCCCCCGCCCCCGCGAGCCCGGGGCAGGCGGCCTCCCTCGGCGACGAGGACGGGCCATCATCGTCGCAGGCTCGGGGCCGCGGCGCCCATCCTGACGGCGAGCGGGGGATGGCGAGGACAAGGGCCAGGAGAGAGACGGATATGTGGAGCAAGAAGACGCGAATGGTGATGACGATGATGATGAGGGGGAGGAGGAGGAGGAGGGGGGGGAGGAGGAAAATTATGAAAAAAGGGGAAGGAGGAAACATAGGAACATGTTGAGAAAGAGGAGGAGGATGAGGAGGAGGAGGGGGAGAAGGTGAAAAACATGAAAGATGAGCGGACGCAGCAACGCAGGTTCTTGCTTCACATTTCACGTGGCCCTCTGAGGCTACAGGGGTGCTCGCGAGGCCCGGGGGGGCTTCTGGCTGGGGGGGGGGGGGTCGGCGGGGTGAATAATATTTTGCGTTGTCCCCCCCCCCTCCCGGGCAGGCCATTATCATGATGTTGATGTTGAAAATGATGATGGCGATGGTGATGGTGATGGTGATGGAAATGAGGATGATTATGATAATGATGATCCTGATGGTAATAATGATGATGATGACGATGCCGATGCCGGTGATGACGATGATGATGATGATGATGGTGATGATGATGATGATGATGATGATGATGATGATGATGTTGATGGTCCTGGCCTGGGGCGGATCCTGGTGCGGACCCTGGAGCCATCTTGGCATTCGGAAGGGTTTTCTGGAAAACGCCTCCGAATTCCTCGGGGTCGTCCGGGGGCGGGGGGGGGGCGATCGTGGAGCGGATCCTGGAGCGGGTGATGATGAGGAGGTGGAGGAGGATGGAAATAGTAACGATGAGGATGATGATGATGATGATGATGATGATGATGATGATGATGATGATGATGATGACAATGATGATGACTATTATGGTTCTGATGATGACGACGACGGCGATGATGATGATTTCGACGGCGACGATGATGATGACGATGATGTTGACTGATGCCTACGATGATGACGATGGCGATGACGATGATGATCCTGGCCTGGGGCGGATCATGGGGGTGGATCCTGGGGCCTTCTTGGAATTCGGAGGTGTTTTTTGGGAAAAGAAAAAACACACCTCCGAATTCCTGAGGGTCGTCCGGGGGGGGGCATTCCTGGGGCGGATCCTGGGCCAGATCGTGGAGCGGATGATGATGATGATGGTGATGATGATGAAGATGGTGATGATGGTGGTGGTGGTGATGATGATATGGTGATGATGATGACAATGATGATGATGATGATGGTGATGATGATGATGATGATGGTCTGGGGCGAATCTGGGGCTCGCTTGGAATTTGGAGGCGTTGTCAGAAACAAAAACACCTCCGAATTTCTGGGGGTCGTCCGGGGGTGGCCGATCCTGGAGCGGATCTAGGAGCGGATGATGATGATGATGATGATGATGATCGTGGCGATGATGGTGGTGGTGATGATGGCGATGATGATGATGACGATGACGATGGCGATGATGATGATGATGATGATGATGATGATGATGATGATGATTGCGATGATGAGGATGACGGTGATGATGACTACGAGGAAGGAGGAGGAGGAGGAGGAGGAGGGGGAGGAGGAGGGGATGATGATGATGATAATGAGGAAGAGGAGGAGGGGGGGGAGGAGGAGGAGGGGGAGGAGGACGAGGGAGAATTCGGGGGAAACGGGGAGAAGGAGGAGGGGGGGGAGGCGGGGGGAGGGGGAGGAGGAGGGCGGGGGGATGAAGAATGGGGGTGTATGGGGTTCGTCCGGGCTGCCGTCACACAGCTCGCTACATGTATTTGCCATGTGGTGTCGGGTTTTGGTTGCATGGATTTCGCCCCTTGGTGGTTCGGCGGCCTGCCTCATTGGGCGGAGGGCAACCCCATCCCCGCCCTCGTCTCTCCCCCCCTTCCTCCTCCTCCGTCGCCCCCCCCACCCCGCCCACAGCCATTGGGCTCAAGTGGGGCATCGCGGTTTACCGTTTATCTTTGATTGGTTGCCGGCCGCCATGAAGTTGGCGCCCTTCTTGTCCTTCGGCGTCCTCGTTGTGCCCTTTCTCGTGGCCGGCGGGGCCCCGACGGCGACGTTCCCTGATTTCGAACGCTCCTACCTCGCCGCTCGTGTTTCGAGCGTAACGCTAGAGAACGTCAGGACCTGGAACTTCTTCCCGGCGAAGTTCCCAGGGGAGCCATGGGAGGTTCCAGCAAAGATCGTGGCCCTCATACCAACGGCAGTCCGCCAAGCCCTAGGGTGCGACGTCGCCAAACTGACGGTGATGCGCAACGTCGACGCCGTCGACTTGTTCGCGGGCCGGGCGCGGATCACCAAGTGGGGCACGCTCGGAGGCCTCAACGTGCTGCCGATTGACAGAACGTGCGTCGATCATATGGACATCCTCACCACCACAGGCCTTGCCATTGTGATCGTCGCGCTGTTGCGCATCAAACCTCCTGGATTGATGTTCGCTGGGCCCCAGTGTTCGAGTTGGGTGTGGGTGTCCCGCAGCGTGACGAAGCGTAGAAGAGGTAACATCATGGGCAATGAAGCTTGTAAGCCTGTTCAGGAAGGGAATGAGGTTAACGCCAGGATGGCGCTTCTCTGCTACATCGCGAATAACCTCGGCGTCAGCTGGGTCATCGAGCAGCCGAGATCGCCCACGTTCTTCGAGACCCCTAACATGCAGACTCTCCTCGTGGAGATCCCGAGCGTCCTCCCGCTGTCGATCAACCTCGGCGACTACGGCCACGCTTCCATGAAGCCCACGTTGCTCGTGGGCGTCGGGGCGCTTTTGGAAGACCTCAAGATGGTTGGGGCGAAGTTCGCCGAGCTCATGCCAGGCGTTGCGCTCAGTTGCCCAGAGCCCGCGGCGAAGCCCAAGGCCCACTCCAAGGCGAAGTCGAAGGCAAAAAGCAAAACAGCTAAGTCGTCGGCGCCCACAAAGAAGGTCAATACTGCAAAAGCGGCCGTGAAAAAGGCCGAGGCTGCGAAGCTGCCGCTCTACACGACAGCCACCCGCCCGAACGGGAAGAAGGCGGTCAACGGAAACAAGCGGGAGATGAAGCAATCGCAGGACTACCCGATGCAGTTTGCTTTGTCCGTCATGCGGAGCCACTTTCCGAACGCGTTCGGCGCCCAGCGTTAAGTTCTTGGAAAGGCAGCGGCAGTATGGGGCTGAGATGATGGGGGCCTCGAATTCACCCAGCGCAGATGGGCGGCCTCGGTGACAGGTGGAGGACAGGGCGGGGTATAGCGATATAGATGGCGTGCGGGGGGGGGGGGGGGAGGGGCGCGGTCAAGCTAGGTGCGCGCGCGTCATATCTGACGTCCTACCCCCCCCCCCCATCCCTTACCATGACGTAGATCTCCCCCTTATTCGCACAGTCAGTCTGTCAGTCCTTACTCGCATGTCGGACCTCGACGACGACGACGACGACGACGACGACGACGACGGCGGCGGCGGCCGCGGCGATCGCCCCCGCGGGGCGGGGCCGAAGACGCGCGCGCCTCGCCGAGCAGGCGGTCGGGAGAGGCGGGGAACACGATTCGGAACGAGCGGGGGCCTGGAAACCCAGTTCGCACCAATCCTGCGTGTAAAAAGACAGGACGCGGGGGGGGGGGGGGGGGGGGGCGAATACGGAAACCCCGTCATCAGGGGAGAGAGGAGGGTAGTACTTGTATTGAGTAAGTGTAAATGAGGCCAGCGCTGCAGCGGGAACACGATTCGGCCGCTGCCGCGGCGGCCAAGGCGTTGCCATCTTGACCTCTGTCTCGTTTCAGCGGGCACTGTCGTCTTGGGTGGGGGTCTCGAGGAATAAATCATCATCGTCGCGTCCTCGTTGGAAGGGGTCTGCGAGCATTGAAAGAGGGCCAGCGCACCCCATCGTGGTGCTGTCGCCCCTGCGCTTCGAGTTGTCGGGAAATCCACAACGTGCGCGGGCTGAGCTCCCACTGTCCCTCGTGTTCTGGGCTTGAACTCTTTTTTCCCGGCTGCCGCTCACGCTCCAGAGTGGGTTGTTTCTGGGGTGCAGCCTAATGCCTCCACGGCCGTTTGTCTCGCATGTGGCGTGTTCGGTGGCGTGTCCGCCCTCTTCCCCTCCTCCTCCTCCTCCTCCTCCTCCTCCTCCTCCTCCTCCTCCTCCTTCCGTTTAGTTTTTCATGCCGCTTCGTGTCACGCCGCCTTGGAACGCTGTGCACGCGGACGCGTCGCGTGCGAGCCGTTGTCGGCCATTCGCCTCTCCGTCTCGCACTTCACACTGCGGCGCAGCCGTCTGAGATGGTAAAAACAAAATATTCAAGTGGCTTACGCCATTCCGCCGACCCCCAGAAGGAGTTAGAGCGTGCGACGATCGTGGAACTGGCCTTCGGCTCATCCCGCCACCGTGCTTGGGTGGTGGCTCAGAGGCTTCTTGAGTGTTCGTTGGGATCTCGTGGAAGGCCTCTCGGGGGCTTCTTGGAGCAAGTTTTGAAGCCTCTTGGGAGACGTTTTGGGGCCTCTTGGGGCCTCCTTTGGGGCTCTTAGGGGGGTTCTTGGGGCCTCTAGGGTGTCTTTTGGGAGCTTCTGGGGGGCTTCTTGGGGCTCTCTTGGGCCCTCCTGGGGCGTTCTCGGGGCGGAAGGCTCGACTTTTCGGTTCGTGGTCCCCCTCTTGGGCCCCTCTTCGGACCGTCTTGGGGCCCTCTCGGGCCGTCCCGGGGCCGTCTTGGGGGTCTTTTGGGCCGTCATGGGGCGATCCTGGGGGCCTCTTGGGCCGTCTGGGAGCGTCGGAAAGTTGAAAAGGTGAGAAGGCCCAAAACGTGCAAAAACCATGCGGGAATCAATTATTGTTGCCTTTTGGGGCCATATTGGGAAGCCTCTTGCCGCCGGCGCCATTTTTTTTTTGTCTCAGCCGCGCAGGGCCCGTCCTCAGTCACGCCCACAGCCCGAGCCTCTGCAGATGACCCTTCACAATCCTGGCCGTGAACTTCTTGCCGTTTGCCGTCCGGATGCCTTTCTCCCCGAGCCATGTGGCCATCCGCGGGGCCGTCCATGCTGCGTCGGTCGCCATGTATTCTTTCATGTGCGGTTTTACCGCGCGGGCCTCGGCCATGGCGTTCTGTTTCCTCCGCTCCGGGCCTTTATTGTGGGCGCGACCGCCCATCTTCTTCTTTTTCCTCTTCACAATTGGCATGATTGTCTGGATCCTGTACTGGATGCGCAAGCCTTCCAAGTGCGCCTCCAGGGCCGCCCGGTACACCGATGAGCGTTCCATCAACGTTCCGTCCATGACACCCTTGATGTTGAACTCAGCGACGAACACGGGGATCCGGGCCAGCATAACTGCAGCAAATCTGGCGATGTTCCTGGCGAGCCGGTCCACGGTCGCCACAACCAGGGCGGCGCCATGCTGCACGCATTGTTCCAATGCGCTCTGCAAGGCCGGCCTGTGCAATGCAACGCCGGACTCGTTGCTGTTCACAGTGGCGACAACCGTGTGCGACCCCAACATCATCCTGCACCACGCATCGCACATGGCGCTCTGGGCCTCTAACGTCATGGGCTGCTGGACCGCTTTCGCTCCAGATTTCGACTTCCGCAGGAACTTGACGACCTGGGGTCGCGTTTAATTCAACAACGCCCAAAACATTCCCCGAATAGCATCGCGCTACGACCCCCAAGTTTTCGAATCCCCACAATTTACCCTAGGACCCAAGAACCAAAACAAACACTCAGGAAGGAGGGTATATATAGCTCTTAGCTGTCCCGCGCGCCGCACGCGCGTCGCAGTCAGAGGGCGCCGATTTGTTAACTCCCAGGCGCCTTGGGCTTCTTCTCGTTAGTGCGGGTCTGCATGCCGGCGGTAAGGGCGACGAGGAATTGCACGAAGTTTGAAAGTGCTTGGAGATCCTTCAAAGGAGTATTTTGCTGGCCTGTCATTGTGCCGCGGCGTATGATTGCGGCTGCGCCGGCTAGGCTAGGCGCTCGTTGGCGTGGAAACCAAAGAATCCGAACCAACATGTCGAGGGGCGGTGGCAGATGACAGTGGTGCTGCTGCCGCTGGCCCTCGTCCTATCAACTCCCTCCTCCTCCTACTCCTGTCCCTTGTTTTGGTCCTCGTCGGCGTCGTCGTTGCGCGCTCTGCTTTGTGCAATCTGTTCGCTCCTTTGTGCGACGTCCTGTGGCGTACTTCCTTGCTGGCTGCAATTATCGTTGTCGCCAGTCGCGTTGCAGCCATGCCGGGTCTGATCACGCATTCCTCGATGCAGGTCGTTTCAAAGCGGTGGAACAGTTCATCTGACAAAAACGCCATCCGACAAAATGACATTTGGTCGGGTGCCATTTTTTCCCCAAGTAGGCTTGCCTAAGGGGATCTTACGCGTTTGTGAAGGACCGCTGGGCCCGCGGCCCTTCGCGAGAGGCGGCGCCCGGTGTTGCCCGATTCGTTGGGCCTGCGTTCATGTAGGTGTTGCCGTTTTGTTTTCGGCGTTCCGCTTGGTTTCCAGTTAGCGTTGCCTGTATTCCTCGGCGTTCCATGGTTTCTTCCTGTGGGCGTTCCCCAGGCACTTCTGCATTCCTCGTTGCCGTGTCCTGGTTTGCTATAAGCGTTCCCTGGGTTCCTTGGGAGTCCTCGGTTCTTTGTTTTTTCTTTTCCTATCGGCATGCCCTGCGTTCCTCAGAGGGTTCCTCGGTGTCTCAGGCTCGTTGTCCATCTAAGACGCCTGCGACGAACCATCGCCGCCGCATGCCTTTTGGAAACGTCTATGTGGCCAAACGTTGTCCCAAGTTTGGCCAAGATATTGAACCATTGTAGTGGCCTTCGGCCAGTGCCGCCGATCCGGGGCGCTCCGGATGCCAGTGGCGACTCTTGGGGCCTCTTGGGGGCTTCTTGGAGGTTTCTTGAAGCCTCCTGGGGGCATCTTTGGGTCGAAGGCCCGAAATGTCAGTTGTTCCCCCTCTGGGTCCCCTCTCGGGCCCGTCCTGGGGCCCTCTTGGGCCGTCTTTGGGGTCTTTTGGGCCGTTTTGGGCTTTCTTTGGCCGTCTTGGAGCCCTCTTGTAGGCCTCTTGGTCCGTCTTGGGGCGATCTTGAGGGTCTCTTGGGCCGTCTTCGACGCTGTGAAAGCCGAAGAGGCGAATATACTGAAAATGTACGTCCCCCCCCACGGAATGAAACGAGTTTTTGCCTCTGGGGGCCCTCTTGGGGGCCATCTTGGAAGCTTTTTGGGGCGTCTTGGAAGCTTCTTGGGCCGTCTGGGGGCCATTTTGGGCGTCTTGGACCGATCGTTCGACGACTCGGAGCCCTCTTGGGCCGTCTTGGAGGCCTATTGGGGTCCTCTTGGCCCGCGCGGGGGCCCTCCTGGGCCCGAAAGAGCCCCCCCTCGGAAAAGGGGAACTGCCCCCCCCCTTACCCCGGCAGGGTCACCCCGGCACCCACCCCCCAGCAGAGCTGAAACCCAGGAACTGATGCTCAGGCTATACTCACACGCCGGATCGGCGGATATGTTGCCCGAGTCGTTGTTGAAATTCTTGGGGGCACGCTGGAGGGAGGATGATGGAGAGGAGGATGGGAGAGAGGAGAAGGAAGCCTCGGAGGGAGAGGAGGCCTCCCGGGAGCCTCTTGGGACACTCTTGGGACCTTCTCGAAGTTTCCTGGGGGTTTCTCGGAGGCCTCTTGGGTGCCTGTGGGAGTTTCTTGGGGGGCCTCTTTGGCCGTCTTGGGGCGTTCCTGGCCCGTCTGACGCCATCGGAAGCTGTCCTGGGGTCTCTCTGGGCCGACTTGGAGCCCTCTTGGGGCGTTTCAGGGCCGTCGTGGAAGTCTCCTTGGGCCGTCTTGGGGCCCTCTTGGGGCCCTATTGCGGGCCTCTTGGGCTGTTTCGGGGCCCTCTTGGGCGGTTTCTTTTCACGATGCTGCTCCCACCTGAGACTTCCTCATCTTCTCCGACCAGAAGCGTACACTAGTTCGACAACCGCACGGGTGGAGGGCGTTTCCTCTTCAAAATCTGGCTCTCGCCCTCTTAAAAATCTGGCTCTCGCTTTAGACTTCCCGAGGTCCTTATGACCAGAACTTGCGCAACAGTTACACGGATGGAGGGCGGATCCTTTGCAAAACGGGGTTCCCTGGACATGAGACGGGGAGGGTGTATTTCAGCGTCGTTGATACGTCCTCGGTCCTCCTCCTCCTCCTCCTCCTCCTCCTCATCCTCCTCCTCTTCCTCCTCCTCCTCCCCCTCCTCCCCCTCCTCCTCCTCCGCCTCCTCCTCCTCCTCCGCCTCCTCCTCCTCCCCCGTCCTCCTCCTCCTCCTCCTCCTCCCCCTCCTCCTCCTCCTCCCCCGTCCTCCTCCTCCTCCTCCTCTCCCTCCTCCTCCTCCTCCCCCGTCCTCCTCCGAGTGGTCTTCGGGCCACAACTCGGACCTCGGGCGGCCGCTCGGGACGGCTCTGGCACCCCGGGGGGCGCTCTCGGCGAGGCGCGGCCGCTGGAAGGCACCTCGCGGCGAGGAGACCTCCAAAAACCGGCGTAAACCCCCGAGGACTTCTTCCTCGGAGCCGGGGGGCCGCCGCCTCTCCCCAGAGATCCGATGTCGTGATTTTGTCCATGCGGGGTCCCCGGTGGTCATTGGAGGTCCTGGCAACTTCCCTGGGGCCGGCCGATGACGACGACGATGACGACGACGGCGGCGGCGACGACGACGGCGACGACGACGATCCGAGTTTGGGCGGCCCGAAAGCCCAGGAACGGCCTCCGGAGGCCGAAAGCGCCGGATAAAACCTCCGCGCTGAAGTACGCACGACGTCGGAGTTCTGGGATACCCTCTCGCACCCCCCCGCCGCCGCCGCTGCCTGCGGCGGCGGCGACGGCGGCGGCGGCGGCGACGGCAGCGGCGGCGGCGGCGGCGACGGCGGCGGCCGACGGACGACGGACGACGGACGACGGACGATGGCGACGGCGACGGCGACGACGACGGCGACGACGACGGCGACGACGGCGACGGAGACGGCGACGGCGACGACGACGACGACGGCGGCGGCGGCGGCGACGATGACGACGACAACGACGTCGACGACGACGACGACGACGACGACGACGACGACGACGCCGGCGGCGGCGACGACGACGACGAGCGGCCGAGCGGCCGAGCCGCACGGGGGGCGAGCGGGGGGCCGCCCGCGCCTGCGTCAGGCTGGTGGCCCCGGCGAAGGCGACGCTGAACGTCCGGGACGCCGTTGGCCACGGCGTCGAGGGCGGGCGCGGCCTCGCCCTGCGCCGCCCCGCGCGACGGGCGCGCGGAGAACGGGGACAGGGCGAGGAGGATGAGGGGAGGGAGGAGGAGGAGGCGGCAGCGGAGGAGGGAGAGGAGGATGAGGGGAGGGAGGAGGGAGAGGAGGATGAGGAGGAGGAGGAGGAGGGGGAGGAGGAGGAGGAGGAGGAGGAGGAGGAGGAGGAGGAGGAGGAGGAGGAGGAGGAGGAGGAGGGGAGGGAGGAGGAGGAGGAGGAGGAGGAGGAGGAGGAGGAGGAGGAGGAGGGGAGGGAGGAGGAGGAGGAGGAAGAGGAGGTGGAGGGAGCACCCACCAGAGTCTGGGGGCGGCCCAGAGTCTGAACAACACCATTTCCAGATGAATCTGCGAGGATGTCTCAAGCGACTTGGCCAATTCGATCAAGACATGCGCAAATGTCTCAGGCGAATTCGCCGATCTGATGAAGAAATACGAGGATGTTCCAAGCGATCTGGCAAATTCTAGTATGAAATGCGAGGATGTCTCAGGGAATTCGGCCGATTCTATTAAGACATGCGAGAATGGCGCAACTGAATCTGCGACAGCTGAATCGATTCGACAACGAGCAAGAAACGCTGATTGAGGCAGAGAATCTGTAGACGAATAATTGAATCTGAAACAACTGAATCGAGTTAGCAACGATCCGTTGCAAGCTGATTTTTTTTTGGACGAGCGATCTCGCTGGAACGCTGGAATCATCTTGCTGGAACGCTTGAGCTCTGAAAAGGGCGGCAGGCACAGGCAGGAACTCTCCTGAGCACTGAAAGGTTGCCCTGATATTGCCAGAACTGTCACAAGCACACGCAGGAACTCTCCTGAGCACTGAAAGCATGTGGGGAAGGAGGGAGACAGGAGGAAGGTGGAGGAGAAGGACTAAGAGCTTGGCAGAAAGAGAAGGAGGAGGAGGGCGAGGATCTGAACCGGAGAGGAAGAGGAGGAGGAAGAGGAGGAGGGGGAAGAGGAGGAAAACACATGGAAACCAAGGAAAGGCTAAGAGAAACTGAGAAAGACAAGAAAAAACAACATCTGAAACGCTAAGAAAACTGAGGAACACTTGAGAAAGCAAAGGGGAAGCGAAGGAGGTTCTAGAAATCATACACAATTTCTGAAGCGGCCAAAACGCACGCACTCTCTGAAGTGGCCAAAACGCGCTGAGAGAGTCTCCGGGGCCTGAAGCGGCCTGACAGGGTGAGCTCGACTCGTCCCCTCTCCTGTCTCTCCTGACTTGTCCCCTCTCCTGTCCCTCCTCCTCCTCCTTTCCCGCCCACCATCCCGATCACGAACTCCTGAGCTGTCTCATGAGGCCTCAAGCCCTGATCGCGAGAAAATCAATGCAGACAGCATCTGAGCTCGTCGCCGCCACTGCTGAGCATCTGAACTCGTCGATGGTTGCTGAAGAGCACAAGATGGCTCACCTACACATGCCCCTCAGCACGCTCATCGTGCTCATCCTCCACCACGACGGCGGTTCCCCGTGCCTGACGCAATGCCTGAGGGCGTGCTCATAGCTGCACGCGACGCAGCCTGAGCGCCACTCGCATTTAGAGCACACCTGCACTGTCTCGATCATCTTCCGGTGGCTGACGTACGCCTGACACTCCTCTGCGCTCTTGTTCGTGAACTGAGCCTGCTCGATTTAACAATCTCTTACTAAGACATACGAGGGCGTCTCAGGCCATCGGGCCAATTGTCGTAAGAAATGTGAGGGTGTCTCAAGCAGTCTGGCAAGTTCTATTTGGAAAT